TCGAAGTATTTATTGAATATCTGAACTATAGCACTGTGTTAAATGTTGGGGGAAAATATTTAACCAGAGCTTTTGGTCATCTCTCCTCTAAAAATATGCATAAGTGTCTAGTAACAAAGAGATGAGGAAATCAACAAATTGTAATATAGTGTAATGTCATGGGATACTGGGTAGGGGTTTCCAATTCAGATTGGGATTGGGTGGTGGCCAGGAAAGGTTCTCCAGAAAAGATAACATAAGTTGAACTGCAAAGGTCAAAGAGGAGGAGGTTCATATACTAATTTTATGTTACAAATTTTCCATAATAAAAAGTTTCAAATTTTTTTTTAAAAAAAGTTAAAGAGGAGTTAGCCAGCCAGACAAGGAGAATTAAAAAAGTTGGGAGTAATTTCAAAAAAGAGGAAATATACTGAGTAAAGAATTATAGAAATGCATAGGTCTTTTGGGATGGTAATAGTATGACTGGAACTCAAGACATGGACCTTCTTTCTTTCCCAGGTCTACAGTTTCCTGTGTCTAGATTTTATTATTATTATTCTTTATTGTCTAAAGTTTTACATATGTCTTCTTTTTTCCCCAATCCTGTGTCTAGATTTTGATTCAAAGGAACAAGAGATTCAAGGAACTGGACTCAAAGGAACTGGATCCAAAGGAATTGGAACTACTCTGATTAGGGAAGAAAGGTCAGATAAGGCCACAGAAGTAGGAGGCTTGTATAATTTTAAATAACTTGATCAGGAAAAGTTCCCTCTCTGAAGATATTTGACTAGAGCAGCGGTTCTCAACCTGTGGGTCGCGACCCCTTTGGCGGTCGAACGACCCTTTCACAGGGCTCGCCTAAGACCATCCTGCATATCAGATATTTACATTACGATTCATAACAGTAGCAACATTACACTTATGAAGTAGCAACGAAAATAATTTTATGGTTGGGTCACAACATGAGGAACTGTATTTAAAGGGCCAGGAGGTTGAGAACCACTGGACTAGAGACTTGACCAGAGTAAAGAAGGAAGCCATGAGTAAGTTTGAGGGGGAAAATCAAGAGTTATTTAGGACATGTTAAGTTTGAGATGCCAATTAGACACTCATTATATATAAAAGTCTACAGTTTAGGCTGCATGGCTGGGATAGGAAAACATATCAGGAAGTCACATGCATAAAATTGGTATTTAAAGCCACAAAAATAGATGAATTGGTAGGGAAAGAATGTAGCCAAAGAAGAGAAGGGTTTACAGGACAAACCCTGAGGCGTGCAAGCAACGGAGGAGAGGCCAGAAAAGGGTAAGGAATGAGAAAGTGGAAGTATGGAATCACATGATCTGAGAGGAAGCCCATATTGCAAGAAAGAAAGAGCAGTCAGCTCTGTGCAATACTGTTGAAAGGTCAAGTGGAAGACAGAAAAGTGACCACTGATTCTAGGGACATGGAAGTCACTTGTCATCTCAGGAGTAATTCTGGGGAGTGAGGGATGGAGGGAGGAAACCAAATTGGAGATGGGAAAGGGAAGTGGAGACAGATTCTACAGCCATTTGTTTAAAAAGGTAAGCCAGAGAAAGAAGAGCAAAATGAGGAACATCCTTCTACCCAAGAAGATGTTCTCTGGAGTTACTCCAATCAAGAGTGGGTGCCCCTTTCCCCAGAGGAATGTTGTGTAAAAATAAACCCACCAGGGAGCTTGAGCCCAGGGGAATCCCATGACGCTGATTCACTTCACAGAGGGAAGCTGCCCACGATGAAATTCACCTTAACGTCCCATGATCATGAGCATTCTCCATGAAAAAATTTAAGCAGAAGTGACAGGGCCAAGTGAGGACACGCCAGCATGCTTTAGGACTTTTGGAAAGACTTGCGAAGCTGGGCCACCGACTACAGCCTTTGCACGGAATCATCTAAAGCACTATTCAGAGATCCCTCCTATCAAGCATCACAGCCGAATCAGAATTTCCACTGTGATGATTATGTGGTTATAGACGCAGCCTTGGTCTGCGAAACATTAGCATGAAAAATATTCATTAATCACCTACTCATGACTAGGCCTAAATACAGATGGATTGGGTATGATTTGATTTATAGGGTGCTAAGCAATCCATCTATTTATTTAAAAACATCTTTCCTTGGTTGCATGAAAATCGCCATCATTAGAAGCCTTCCCTTGATCAAAAGACGCTAACTCCAGAAGATCCCCTTAGAAATACACACACACACACACACACACACACACATAAATAAAAGAAAAATATTAGCAAAGACGAATTTATTAACACTTTAGTATAAATTTATTTCTCAGACTTGTTTGGAAAGGCTGGGTCTCAAACAATAGACAGAAAAGTTGTGTTAAAAGGGAACATTCCTGTGCATTCTGACTCTAGGTAGATTGTATAATAGGAAGCCTTGGGCAGGCAGCTCCAAACATGAAGTTCCTGCGCATCTTCGGGAGGAGAACAGCATTAATGTCTGAAAAGTATGAAGGTAACACAAAGAAATGCAAAAAGAATTTCTAAAAAATAGCAGGAAACCATTCATGGTACCATGACTAGGACAGTTTCCATTTCATACTCTGGTACCTGTTTTTTAGTGTCTCTGCCACTGCATCACACACGCCCTCCATAATTTGATAGGAGTTGCTTTTATATGTTATTTTTGTATACACTTTCATTTGATAGAGAAATTTGTGCACCTTATTCTTTCTATTAAACATATCATGCACACTTTCTCATATTATTTCACAAAATTCACAAGCATTGTATTTAACAGCCATATAAAATTTCACCCCGTGGAAGTGTCCTACTTCACTTAAAAATTCCCCTGGACTTGAATAGTAAAGTCCTTTCTACTTTATTCTTACAGTGAATCATTCAGGCTTTAAGTAACATCAGTGCCCAAAAAACACCTCTTTTGAGTTTAAGATTACTTCTTTAGGATAGATTTCAGAAGTGGAATTATGGGTAAAATAGGAAAACACTTTTAGAATTCTTGATACAAACTGCTTTTGGTATAACATGGATTGTACCAAAATGAGGAAAACGAAGGAGAGCGATTTTGAATATAAAACTCTGGCTTCCCTACTGCTTTGCAGAGGTGGCTAGCTACATACAAGCTGGAACTGCGCCTGTCACTGTACATAGGGCCTGTGGTCCTTGTATTGAAGTGAGCACACTCTAGAATGGCAAACACTGAGATGACCATCCACGCACTGAGGTAATTTACTCAAAGGTGAAGACATACAAAAGTGGATGCAAGATCATCTAGGGTTAACTACAGGGTAAGACTAGGTTTGAAGCCTGTCCATGAAAGTGGCCTTTTTAAAAGGTCTTATGAGTGACATTTAACTTGAATGTACACTGTCAATAGCAGTGGAGCTATCTGAATTTTGGGAGGGTCTACAGGTAGATTTAAAATTTATATTAAATGCTCAGATTTTAAAAAATTCATATACATATATGCATATAAGTTCTTTGGTTAATCTCTTCTCGGACCCCCTTTTCTCTGAGATCTGTCAGTTTGTGGCATGCTTCTATGTCTCTGGACATATTTGTTCATCAATTAATTGTGTTTATTAGATTGCACATATAAGTGAGATCATGTGATATTTGTCTTTCTCTGACTGGCTTATTCCATGGAGAATAGTGCAGTGAAGGCCTGGGGTTGTGTGGGAGCAGGATGGAGCAGGAAAAAGGGGGACATCTGTAACACTCTCAACAATAAAAATAAAAATACATATACATTTATATACTTATAAATGCATAATTTTAAGATGCTCAGACCTGTGGATCAACAATATCA